TTGCTTTAGAGAAGAGGAAGAGAAAACTAGGGGTGCACGTAAAAATCTATTCATATATTAATCGTGATTCTGTCTTCTAACGATTCTAATGGATTCACAAGTTTCAAAATCAATGCTCTAAAGCAGCGGTTCTCAATGCTGTTCCTCGCGTTCCCCTGCTCTACACACACTCTGCATCTCTCTCTCTCTCTCTCTCTCATTCAGCTCAGCTCCAACAATGAACTGTTTCATTTATACACTTATTTTCACATAGCTATGAGAAGCATTATACATGGACGCGCTTGCGGTTGCCGTACTGTATTAAACCTTTAATCAGCTTTAAATAAAACCGTATATTAAAAGCTAACAGAAGCAGTAGCATTTTCAAATGACAGCGTATCTAAAAGTATGAGACAACAACAATCAAAAAACATACCATTAAAAGCTGTGCTTGCACAGGTTCTCAATGATCCTCTTCACTAATATACTCTGCTTCTCAATCGAGCTCAAACTGATAAGCAATATAGACGACGCCACTGTTTACAATACAACCGGAGCACATGCCGCTGAGGTGAGGGGCGGGACTTTCAGACGCGCACTAGAGGCGGTTTAGCGAATCACAATACACTGGACCAGCTAACCAATCTGAGCCCAGCACGTATTTCTGAGGGAGGGGCTTCATAAAAGCAGGAAATGATCAGCGTGTTTATGGGAGAAGGGTGAGTGTAGAATAAAAGTAAATTATGCGAACAATAATGTTTTTTTTTTTTAAAAGAAGCATTAACACATGTTAGACTGCACCCCATAAATTTGTTTGTGACTGAAACTGATGCCTGTTCTTCTGTGGAGTAAAATATTAAATTATCAATATTACTTCTCACAAAATACATCTTAATTAGCTTTAGTATTCATACTCATTCAGATTAGTAGAAACCATAGTGCTTATAACATTAGACTCACTGAGTACGTTTACATGGACAACAATATTCTGATTTTAACACGATTAAGACAATATTCTGATTAAGAATCTACCATGTAAACAGAGATTTTTGATTACCTTAATCTGGCTTAAGGTCATAGTCGAAGTAAACACAAATCAAATTAAGACATGTGGAGTATTCCTATTTTAGTTGCATTATTGAAGTGCAGTAAAGACATGTAGACACCTTAATCACATTATTACCGTCATGTAGGATACACACATGGCAGTGGTCAACGTGGTTTGACAGCAAATAAAAGAGCTTCAACACCGCCGTCGTCTGTATGCACGTACAAATAATTAACTGCACTTGAAGCTTTCATAAAATTAAAAATGAAACACCCACAACTGTATATGGCATCATCACGAAGACGAACTATATGTTCATACGTGAAATTCTGGAGGGGATGTCGGATGGCGTCCCGTGGGGACGTAATGACGTGCACCATTAATCAATCTATATAACATGTAAAACGGTAACATGAAAGGAATATTCTAAAAGCAACTCATGTAAACACCTTAATCATAATATTGTCTTATTTAGAATAAGGTACATAATTAGATTACTGATGTCCATGTAAACGTAGTCACTGTTAGTCTGCTTTGACTTAGTTAGTGTGTGATGTTGCTGTTTGAGCATAAACAATATCTGCAAAGTTGCTGCGCTGAAAGTTCAATGTAAACGGAGATATCGTCTTTTAAAATTCTGGCAGTTTAATGCCTACAGAAACAGCTCGTAGCGACTACAACAACTTACTTCCCGGGTTCGTGACATCACAAACCCAGGCAAACCCCACCCCCGGGAACATGCAACGAAGGGAGCGAGGCCATGCTGTGTTGCTTTAGAGAAGAGGAAGAGAAAACTAGGGGTGCACGTAAAAATCTATTCATATATTAATCGTGATTCTGTCTTCTAACGATTCTAATGGATTCACAAGTTTCAAAATCAATGCTCTAAAGCAGCGGTTCTCAATGCTGTTCCTCGCGTTCCCCTGCTCTACACACACTCTGCATCTCTCTCTCTCTCTCTCTCTCATTCAGCTCAGCTCCAACAATGAACTGTTTCATTTATACACTTATTTTCACATAGCTATGAGAAGCATTATACATGGACGCGCTTGCGGTTGCCGTACTGTATTAAACCTTTAATCAGCTTTAAATAAAACCGTATATTAAAAGCTAACAGAAGCAGTAGCATTTTCAAATGACAGCGTATCTAAAAGTATGAGACAACAACAATCAAAAAACATACCATTAAAAGCTGTGCTTGCACAGGTTCTCAATGATCCTCTTCACTAATATACTCTGCTTCTCAATCGAGCTCAAACTGATAAGCAATATAGACGACGCCACTGTTTACAATACAACCGGAGCACATGCCGCTGAGGTGAGGGGCGGGACTTTCAGACGCGCACTAGAGGCGGTTTAGCGAATCACAATACACTGGACCAGCTAACCAATCTGAGCCCAGCACGTATTTCTGAGGGAGGGGCTTCATAAAAGCAGGAAATGATCAGCGTGTTTATGGGAGAAGGGTGAGTGTAGAATAAAAGTAAATTATGCGAACAATAATGTTTTTTTTTTTTAAAAGAAGCATTAACACATGTTAGACTGCACCCCATAAACACAATCAAGCCTAGAAAAAAAACAGTAAACTACTACCCCTTTAATGTATTTTGTTTTCCTTTTTTCTAGAGTAATAATTAATAAAAGGTGTAAAACTTTAATCAATTAATTAGTAAATTTCAAAAATAATATTAAGTTCTGCTACAATTGCTACCATCACCCAATTCTATTTAAAAATCGGTCAGCAGGGCAATCAGGATGAAAATTTGTTTAGCTAGATGAAATATGTGCACCAGAAAAATAAATAAAAAAATAAAGATTGGGGTTAACTGCTGCGGAGATGCCAGGAGTGCAGGCGCGAGAAAAGCCATGGAAACATTCCCAGCTCGGGTTATATTAAATATCCAAAGGGAAGGGGAAATTGTAAAGTGAAGATCCAGACAGGAAGATGGAAAAGTCTTTTTGTTAAAGTGAATACTTGTGCTTGTAAAGGCCTGCAGGTTTTTTTTTCTTTTCTTTTAAGCTTTTGTCAAACAACATTTTATATTTCCTTGAGGGACTGCCATGCCACTCATATTTTCCATTATTGCATTGACTGGGATATTATGTTTCATGAATGTACATGAAAAAGATCTGCAACTGTAAAAATCAAGGTGGTCCAAAACATTCCAGAAGACTTGCTCCATGAATAGAAGAGATGGATGCATGTCCAGACGCAAAGAGTTGAGCACTTCATTTACATCTAAAATCTGTACAAATCACTTTGTAATTAATCAATTTTTATTAATTCATTATATATATATATAATATGTTTATTCAGATGCAAAATAAGGAAATAAATAAAAAAATTAATAATATTATTTAAAATTAAAATGTATATTTATTTATTTATTTTAATTAAATGGTTGTATTTGTTTAAGTGCAAAAATGGGTAATAAATAAATATAAAAATTTAATTAAATAATTTTACTGCTGATAATATAATTTCAAATGCAAAAAGTTGTATTTATTTGCAATGACAAATGTTGTTTTATTTATTTCTATTTTATTTAAGTGCAACAGATAGAAATAAATATGACAAATTCGATTTATTTAAATTGTTTTACTTAAAGGGGTCATATGATGCGATTTCAAGTTTTCCTTTCTCTTTGGAGTGTTACAAGCTGTTCGTGAATAGATAAGATCCCTGAAGTTGCAAAGACTAAAGTCTCAAAACCAAAGAGATATTCTTTATCAAAGTTAAGACTCTGCCACGCCCCCCTAAAACGGCTCGTTCTAACACGCCCCCACATATCTACCTCACTATGTGGAAATATTTGTATAATGCGCCCAAATGTGCACGCAAAGAAAGAAGGCGTGGTTTCAGTAACCGCAGTTAGTGTTGAAGCAGCACGTCAGGGAGACGCAGTGTGTTTCTAGGCGAAAGCAAAAGCACTTTATTTGGCCTTCCGAAAGTAGATGCATTTAGGAATCTTTAAGATCACTTACAACAGAACAGCAATGCATTTTATGGACGACCGTTTCGTGAACCTAGGAGAGGAGGTCATTCTGACTTTGTTATGACAATCTGGCGCTTCTGAATCAGCGACTGTAAGTATGTTTTGTTACTAGTTTAAGTATTTGCTATTAACTGTTCAAATGCGAAGTTTTGCGCATCATGTGTGCGTGTGTGTGTGAGAGAGAGAGAGAGAGACCACGTCACATCAAAGTGGAGTCAGCTGTCTTAACCGCGGCTTGTGCTGTGATAACAGACTTAGACTTCTTAGAGAGGGGAACTAAAGTTAGTCCTTCTCCTTGACTATTCACTGCCGTGTGTCTAAGACTCAGGTCATAGACAGGAGCCTTTACTGGACTCTGGTCTGGGGCCGAAGCCAGCATTAGACCTTGGCCTGGGGCAGAAGCCAACGCTAGACTCTGATCGAGGGCTGAAATATGCTCTGGACTCTGCTCGGAGGCTTGTAGTTGAGCTAGACCTTGGTCGGGGGCTTGAACTTACACTGGACTATGGTCAAAGGCTGGGCCTATACTGGATTATGGTTAAAGGCTGGAACCTGCTTTGGACACTTGTCGGGTGCTGAAGCCGGCACTTGACTCTGATCAGGGGCTGAGGCTGTCATTAGACCTTGTTCCGGGGCTGAGGCCGACACTGAACTCTGGTCATGAATTGGAGAATGCTCTGGACTCTGGTTAGGGGTTTGAGCCTTTACTGGGAACTGGCCGGGGCCTGGAGCTCGCACTGAACTCTGGTCAGGGGCTAGAGCCTGCACTGGACTTTGGTCAGAGGCTGGAGCCAATTCTAGACAATGCTCTGTGGATAGCGTAGGTTCAGGGAAGAACTCAGGGAGGAGGTATATGTTTGGGCACAGACCTAGAATTGGTGGCTGTAGACATCACTGATCGTAGGTCAGGGTCCAGAGCCATGTCTTGTCTGTGCTCCGTGTGTACAGGAAGATCTGGGGGGATTTCTCATGAATACGTTTGACCGGAAGGTGAACTGGGATGATAGGGGTTGGCCAAATTTGATGGTGTAGGACTGGGTTCTATAACTGACACAGGAACTGGACAGGGCTTTGGAGCGACCACAGGGACTGGAGGAGGTTCAGGACCATACACGAGAACTGGGGTGAGAACTGGACTGAGTATAGGAACTGGACAGGGCTTTGGATAAACTACAGGGACTGGATGAGACCTCCAATCAGACTCTAGAAGGGTAGCCATCTGAAATTCTGACTCGGAGCTGTTGGCCATTACATGTAATGATTCAGTGATGGTGGCCATAATGGGTGATGACTGACGATCAGTGACCATGATGGGTGTTTCTCAAACTGAAGGCTGCATCCTCTGAAGGCTGCATATCTGGGCTGCCACATCATCAAATGTCGCTGAAGGCCATCTCTATCGGAAGGATCCTTGGAAGGCAGCCTTCGTTTCGCGTCCTTCATTCAGCTGAATTTGAAGGATGCATGGGATGTATCCTTCATGACCTTCAATCACCCACAATCCTTTGTACCCATTTCATTTCATGAAAATAAACTGATGAAAAACGATTCAGTACTGAGCTTGTCTGAATTTATTATGAAATGTAAGACACAAATAATGTTTCCAGACATGAGCGCATATGTTATTTTTGTGTTTTGGTGTAAATTACTCACTAAATGCTAAACTGCCAATAATGTAAGCCACCGGTAGACTAGACGGCTGTGATTCGTTGTATTGCATTAATAGAAAGCCAAATAATATAATGATTTGTAATACAAAGTATTTTTTTATTAAGATTTATTAGTATTTTCACGCCATGGCGGTGAGGGCGGGAACATATGTGACATAGCCACGCACACTTACTAAACTGTCTAATTCTAGCGTTTAATGCCGAGGAGGACTCTAGCCTACAAGACTCTGAAGGACTGAGCTAGGAAGGACGCAGCCTCGGTAGGATACAGCCTGCCGTTTGAGAAGCGCCCGTTATGTGCAGATCTGGGACTGGCGGCCATGATGGTTGATGACAGACGATCGGTGGCCATGATGTGTGATTGGTCTGGATGGAATTCTTGTACGGACTTTAGGACTAAAGGTAGACTTAGAAGGGACTCACTACAGAACTCCGAGACTGGTGCGGACACATTGTGGAACTCTGGGACTGGAGCGGATTCAGTGGTTGGTTCAGAGATCAGAATAGACATCAAGTGGTAGTTAAAGGCCGAACTTGCAGAGGGCTGTCTCTTCTTCCTGTGCCTCCTCCTTTGGGCAGAGTTGAAAAGAAGTGCTGAGGTTTTAACAGTCTCTGAGTTTGTCCCAAGCTTTGGTGCTGGCTCATGGGTGTGAACAGATTCTGGAACAGGAATGGACTTATAACTGATCTTCGAGGCTGAGAGATATTTGATGACTGGCGCGAATCCTGGGGCAGGTGAGATGGTTTCAATGTTCAAGGATGTAGAGGAATTGTCTATGGCCCAATCCCAATTTATACCCCTACACCTACCCTTTGTCCCTTGAGTGTCATAGGGTATGGGTGTAAATATTCCCCTAAGAAATGGGACACCACTAATATATCATTACGTCATCATGCGTCGTCTAGCTCCTACAATACACACACCTATACTGGTGTGCAGGCGTGCATTATAGCCTTTAATTAACATTCTATATTAATGCGCTGGCACACATCCAGGAGCAAAGATACTTGTCAACGCTGCCCCACGACT